AGGTGAGGGCCCTCCAGCCCAGGGTGCAGGTGGTGAGCTGGCACCCAGTGAGCAGCGCACGCCCGGCACGGTGCCACACACCCAGGAAGGGAGACGGTGACGCTTCTTGCACTTAGGATTTAAATGCCACCAAGGTTAGGAACAGCTGAGAAGAGATTTTCAGGATTGGACTTTTGGAACGGAGATGCCTAAATTCCATCTAAGCTTCCCTTTAAGCATCCACGTCCCGGGACGGCCCTGGGGAGCTGCTGTCACCCTCCATGTTGCGTCACTGCGTTGGCTGTTGACCAGCTCTGGGGATGGCAGAGTCTCAGAGCCTTGTGGCACGGGATCCCCAATTTTGGGGTGCCACTGTTGGGTTCCAAGCAGTGATGAAGGCTGAAGAGCTTGGGGTTGGGGATGGCAGCGGGTCAACGTGGAGCAAAGGTGGGACGTGGTGGAGGCGGGGGTCTCTGGTGGCCCTTTGGTTCCCCAGACAGAAGCGGAGAGGAGCAGCATGAAGCCCTTTAATGGCGACAAGACAAACGCTGGCACCGCCAGGCTGGGCAAAGCTTCACAGGGAACATCTCACCTCCATGCAGCACGCTCTGCTCGTAGAGATGCTCACAGTCACACCTCCCTGCTGTCCTCTCCAGCACTACAATGAGGCAGATCCACGTTTCAGTTGGGCTCCTGGCCCTGCAGCTGTGCCTGCCGTGGCCCTGTTGGCCCGGGGACCCCCCCCAAGAGGGGCTGCACGTACCTGAAGCGCCGGTGGAACTCCATGACAGCTTGCTCCTGCTCCCGTGTCTCGATGGAGCCCGGCCGCAGCCTGCGGATCTCCCGGATGGCGTCACTGCCGCTCATCTTCTGTGTCTTCACCAGGTAGCAGGCCAGCATGGTGCCCGTCCGGCCATGTCCCAGCATGCAGTGCACAGCCACCGCCTGCGCCATGACACGGGCACCCCATGGCGTCACCTCCCTCCAGGTGCGACCTCCATCCTGCTGTCACCCACCCTGACATCACCCGCTCCACACTGGCGTCACCCCCCCATCATCACCCCCTCGATGTCTCCTCTCTCACGGTGACATCCTCCTCGTGGTGTCACCCACCGTGGAATCACGTATCCCACACCGGCAGCACCGCCCCACCATCACCGCCTCGGCGTCACCTCCATCTCAGTGTCACCTACCTCTTGCTGACACCCTCCTCTTGGTCACTCCAACACCACCCCCCTATCCTTGGCATCACCTCCATCTCGGTGCCACCTCCACCTCGGTGCCACCTCCCTCTTGCTGACACCTCGCTCTCAGTGCCAACCACCCCAACATCACCCCCCCCATCCTGGCATCACCTCCTCTGCCACCGCCCTCGTTGTCACCCCCCAGTCCGTACCTCCCCGCGACCGTTGGCCTCCTCCACCAGCTGCAGGAAGCTCTGGATCTGTCCGGGTGTCGGCGGGGTGAAGTCAGGCACACGGAATCGGTGGAGCTGCAGCGCGGGACAGCAGCCGTGATGTGGGGGGGGCCCTTTCAGACAGTGACACCAGATGCCTCACGCCCCGGCCCAGCAGGAAACGGTAATGGCCCGGCTCTCGTGGCATGGCCAGCCCCGCCAGCCTCCCCTCTGCCACCCATGAGAAGTTGGGGGGCTCCACCATCGCCTGCGGGGTCCTGTGGGATGGGGACGTGGGACGGTGCTGCACCGCAGGGTCTGGACCCCCGGGCTGTGCCCCTCTCCAGAGCCCAGCATCCCACCCCATGCTCTCCTTAAGACCCCTCCCCACAAACCTCAGGACCCCCCAGTCCAGGCTTCCTGAGATCCTCCCCCCCCCCCCCCCCCCACCCCCCCCACCCCCCCCCCCCCCACCCCCCAGGCCAGTCCCCAACACCCCGCGCCCCAACAGCCCTCCTGGGCCATCCCGCCCCCGACACCCCCGGCCCCTCCCAGCTTCCACCCGCCCTCCCTCCGGCCGCCCCGGGCTCCCCCCCCCCACTCCTTCCCGGCCCGCCTCCGCCGTAGGCCGCACTCAGCAGGCCCGGCCCTGCGGCCTACCCCGAACCGAGACCCCAGCCCTGCGGCCTACCTGGAAGGAGACCCCGGCCCTGCGGCCTACCTCGAACCGAGACCCCGGCCCAGCCTGGCCGCTCCCACCCCCCCTCCCCTCCTGCCCCGGGCCTTCTCTCCCCTCCGTACCGGGGAAGGCCGCGGGGGGGCGGAGCGGGACAGCAGGGAACGGCGGAATCGATCGCAGTGCCGGAATCAGGTGGCGGAGGCCGTTGGGCTCCGCGGTTGCACCGCGGCGAGGCCCCCCCCCCTTCTACCCCACTCCCCGGGGATGTCGGGACGCAGGGCTGCACCCCATGGAAGTACCGGGAGACCGGGACTCCTCCTTTGTCCTTGCTTTGTCCCCTCCCCAGCCTCACAGAGGGGGACAAGGGGGGTTTCCATGGACTGGGGACAAGGAGGGACCCCAAAGTGGGGGGATAAGGGGGTCCCCATAGAGGAGAACAAGGGGAGACCCCACAGATGGGGACAAGGAGAGACCCCAAAGTGGGGGATACGGGGGTACCCCATGGAGGGGGACAAGGAGGGACTGCATGGAGAGGTCAAGGGGGGGAACTCAAGATGGGGGACAAGGGGAGACCCCATGGAGGAACACAGTGGGGGACCCCACAGAGTTGTTCTCCTCACCCACAGCCCCCACCCCCAGCACCACAAAATGCACCCAGCGCTGCCTGCTGCTGCTTGTCGACTCCATTCCTTCTTTTATTTGCTGCTATGTGGCTTTGGGGGATGGAGGTCAGGCAGAGGGGACTTGCGGAGAGGGGGGCACGCGTTAAATGGTGGCAGCGGCGGCCAGGAGCCTTAGGACACGAGGTACACCTCACCCTCGATCTTATAGGGGAAGTTCCTCCAGCTGAAGATGGGGGTGGCGTAGGGTTCGGTGTAGCCGAGCATTTTCACCTCTGAGTTGCTCAGCCCCACGTCCCACATGTAGACCTCGGAGATCTCCCCCACGAAGGACTGCTGGGCGTCGAAGCCTCCCCCGAAGGCGTCCTGCTCCTGCCCCAGCACCACCACGGCCTCGTCGCCCACCTCGTAGCCCTTCTGCAACCCTTTGCGGGGCCACGGGCGTCCGTTCAGCCAGAAGCGCACGATGCCGGTGGGTGACTCCCAGGTGACGCAGACGAATTCTGACTCCGCGTGGCTCTTGGGGATGGAGAAGGCGACGTATTTCCCCCCGACGTAGAAGCGGTACTCGGTGGGTTTGAATTTGAGGAGGAGGATTTCGTCGTCTTGAGCTTTGGTGGCGTAGGAGAAGGGGCCGTGGGGCCGCGTGAGGTCGGTGTAGGAGCGCAGGCACACGGTGAAGTTGAGCAGGGGGTGCTCTGGCTGCGCCTGCAGCAGCACATAGGAATCATTGGACTGTTCAGGGAACACGAAGACTTTGTTCTTCAGGTCTGGGAGAGAGAGGAGAAAAAAAATGAATGTCCCCTCACAGAAGGAAACCACCAGATGTGGAAGCGGCCGCTGTTAACCGTAGGGGTGGCTTCCAAGCATCTCGAGGTGCAGCCACGCGAGGGCTGGTGACCCAGGGTGATGTTGGCACGGGGTGGGGAGCAGCTCCCCTATGAGGACAGGCTGAGGGAGCTGGGCTTGTTCAGCCTGGAGACAAGAAGGCTGCGGGGTGACCTCATTACAGCCTTTCCATTCCCTTTAGAGGGAGCCTACAGAGGGGAGGGGAATCAACTCTTTGAGAGGGCTGATACGTGTAGGACGAAGGGAAATGGTTTTAAGTTGAGGGAGGGGAGATTGAGGTCGGACATCAGGGGGAAATTCTTTACCCAGAGGGCGGTGAGGTGCTGGAACAGCTGCCCAGAGAGGCTGTGGATGCCCCGTCCTTGGAGGTGTTCAAGGCCAGGTTGGATGGGGCCCTGGGCAGCCTGGTTAAACATTTAACGTGGAGGTTGGTGGCCCTGCATGTGGCAGGGGGGGTTGGAGATTCATCATCCTTGAGGTCCCTTCCAACCCTGGCCATTCTGTGATTCTGTGGTGAGGAGGAACTGGAGGAAGGAGGGCACAGCTGGGAGGACGGGTTGTTCCTTCCCTCCTTACCGTCTGTCCACAGGTTGTAGGTGGCCGCGGCGGAGCCCCGGGGGCTGGTGACCTTGCAGGTGTAGATGCCCAGGTGGGTTTTATTTAAGGAGCGGAAGAGGAGGATGTCACTGGGGCCTCTCTGCAGCGGTTCCTGGATCCCTTTCTTCTCCCACACGAACTCCTTGGGGCTGCGTGGGGCTCGGTGTCACCCAGGCGTGGGGTTGCCCGTGGGGCGGCCGCGCTGTGGGGTGGGGGGCTGCCTTACCCTCTGTCCCCGGTGACCTTGCAGCTCAGCACCAGGCTGTGGTACATAGAGGGCACTTGGGGGGAGCTTTGGATCCGGGCGCTCAGTTTGGCTGCGGCACCTGGACGGAAGGACGGCGCCGGGGTGGGGGGGTTTCATCACCCTGCCACCCCCCCCCTCACAGCCCCACGTCCCCATGTGTCCCCTTTTGCTGTTGTGCCACCACCCTGCGTGTCCCCATGTCCGTCCCCCCGCCTGCTCCCCAGGGGATCCTTCATCCCTACCATCTGGGGCAGCGATGCTGCAGAGCCCCACGAGGAAGAAGAGGAAGTAGAACCGCATTGTCTCCGTGTCCCCACCGCAGCGACAGTGGCAGAAGTCCAGGGCACTTCCCAGAAGAAGGGCACTGCCACCTGACTTCCTCCCCCGACTTTCCCCAGTGAGGACATTGTCCCGTGTGACGCCATGGGGACATCGGGTGAGCGACTTTTGTAATGTCAGCAATGGGCAGGAAGCGTGGGGACCGGCGTCCGTCCCCGGATCCACGTCACCCCCTCCCGTCCCTGGCAATCGATGTGTCCCCGCATCCCCAAAACCCCCCCCATCCCCTCCCATCGCCAGCGGGATCGACGTGTGCTCACTTTTGTCATCGTCACCTGGAGTTTTCATGGTTTATTTTGCTGCAGGGGGAGGACGAGGATCCCAGGGCAGGGATGGGGCCGGCGCTGCGTGCCGTGGGGACTCAGCAGGAGAGGGGCGACCCGGGGCTGGGGGTGTCCCCATCTCTCCATGCATCACATCCCCACGGCTGAGCCGAGCGGGCGACGCCATGTGGAGAGGACAGCGAGGATGGAGACAGCAAAGGGAAACAGCTTGAGGGTCTCAGGCCCCCAGCGCCTCACGCAGCCGTGGTTTCACCACCACGTCCCCCTTGGCCTCGTAGTGGAGGCGTCCCCAGGCCAGCAGCGCCGGCGGCAGCCTCAGCGCCAGGTAAGCGGAGCGCATCTTATCGGGGGACAGCCCTGCATCCCACAGGTGGACGTCCGCCATCTCCCCCGTGAACGAATTATAGACGTCGAAGCCTCCCCCGAAGGCGTCCTGCTCCTGCCCCAGCATCACCACGGCCTCGTTGCCCACCTCGTAGCCCTTCTGCAACCCTTTGCGGGGCCACGGGCGTCCGTTCAGCCAGAACTCGGCGATGCCGCTGCCCGACTCCCAGCTGGCGCAGACGTGTTCCCACTCCCCGCGGTTCTCGGGGACGCGGAAGGTGACGTATTTCCCCCCGACGTAGAAGCGGTACTCGCCGGGTTTGGGTTTGAAGAGGAGGATTTCGTTGTCTTGAGCTTTGGTGGCGTAGGAGAAGAGGCTGTGGGGCCGCGTGAGGTCGGTGTAGGAGCGCAGGCACACGGTGAAGTTGAGCAGGGGGTGCTCCGGCTGCGCCTGCAGCAGCACGTAGGCGTCGCTGGGGTCCTTCCGGAACACAAACACCTTTCTGTAAAGGTCTGCGGGGGGACAGAAAGGGGGTGGTGGGCTTTGCACCTTCCCCCGGTCCCCTAGGGGACGGCTCTGCCCCCCTAGGGGGCGTCCCCATGGAATGGTGTCCTCACCAAGTGGTGGAAGGACGTGGCCATGGAGTGACGTCCTCGTGGAGAGGTGTCCCCAGTGAGGGACGTCCCCATGGAGTGACATCCCCGCTGTGTGACGTCCTCATGGAGTGAATGCCCCCCAGTGAGGGACGTCCCCACTGCACCACGTCCCCATGGAGTGACGTCCCCAGTGAGCGATGCCCTGACCGTGCAATGGCTCCAATCAGGTTCCCCACTGAGTGACATCCCTGCTGTGTCAACTCCCCACTGAGTGACATCCCCAGTGAGTGGTGTCCCCTACCAGAACACATCCCTCTGAGTGACATCCCCACCGAGTGACATCCCCATGGAGTCACGTCCCCAATGAATGATGTCCCCACCAAATGATGTCCCAACGTGTGACGTCCCCATTGAGTGATGTCCCCATTGAGTGACGTCCCCATTGAGTGACACCCCGGCCCCCTGATGTCCCCCAGTGTCCCCATACCTTCCTGGGCCATGGCAGCGGTGACGGTGCTGAGGACAACGATCCACATCGGCGCGGTGCCCTTGGTGCCGCTGCACTGCTGGGTGCGGACTCGGCGGGTTTATGGGGTGGCTGGGGTGGGTGGGGAGCCCCCGTCCCCCAATCCCATCCGCTGGCACCGATGGAGCTGCGATTTCATGGTGTCACACGGCTGCAGCACTGCAGCACGGGGCCGTCCTGGAGCCGTGCCCGGGGCGCGTGGTGTGGGGTCGGATTTGGGGTCACCCCTCCACGAGGCATCGCCTCAACCCCGACCCTTCTGTCCTCTGAGCGACTCCGTGTGTCCCCTGCTGGTGTCTGTGCACCTTCTGGGGCTTTCTGTGCCCCCCTGACCCCCCCTATTTCCCCCCCAGACCCTCTGTCACCGCAGGGCCATCCCTAATGGGGATTTACAAGCGTTGGCCAAATGCCGAGCTCAATTACTTCTCTTCCTGCTAATTAATCACAGCGCCTTATTAAGCATCCCCCCCCCCTTATTCGGAGCCCCAGGAGCAGTTCCTCCTGCTTCCACCCCACGCCCCCCATGGGAACGGGACCGGAGATGATAATGGGATGGAACGTGGTGCTCCTGGGGATGGGCATCCTGAGGAAGCCCTCAGCCATCCCACGCTGTGCCCCACAGCCAACAAGGGGGGGCTCAGCCCCACAGTGCTCACAGGGGACTCCGTGGGGCAGCAGTGGGGAGTGCCGTGGGGTGGAGGTTCCTGTGGGGGGGGTTTGGGGTGGCAGCAGGGAGCTCCATGGGGTGGCCATGGGGTAGCTATGGAGAGCTCTGTGGGGCAGCCATGGGGCAGCCATGGGGTGTGAGGATGAGGGCTGGTTTGAGAAAGGAGAGCCCCCCCCCCCCCCCC